GACCCTCCCCCCTCTCATGTGCTCTCTCTCTCAAATAAATAAATAAAATCTTTAAAAAAAAAAATTAAAAAAAAAAAGAATACAACTAAAGAGAAAAAGTGTTCCTGGGTTGAAAAAAATTAAGTATAAAGATTAAAAGGGAAAAGCAAATGAAAAGACACATCTACCTAGACATATCCTGGCAAAATTTTGCATTCTGTATTGGTGGTGGGGGCAGAACAGGTATAAAGAACAATCTTTCCTTGCTCCGCGGGGAGCTTGCTTCTCCCTCTGCCTGCCACTCCCCCTGCTTGTGTTCTCCCTCCCTCTCTGACAAATAAATAAAATCTTAGGACAAATGTGAGGGGCTACAGTTGCCTTTTAGAATTTTGAGTGGGGGAGAGGTTGCCCTCCCACTCCTTCCTGAATTTTATATATAGCTTAGATAGATTTCATATGGAAAGGCAGCAGAAAGACATTCTCAGACATTCAGGTCTCAGAATATAAGCTCTTTAAATTTTACTCTGAAAAGACATTTCATCTAACTAAAGATGAATCTCTCTTAGCGCTAAGAAAAGGTTAAGTCTTAAAAGGATGGGTGGGTTTCTCTGAGGCATAGCCCCCCAGCGCGATAGCAGAGCCCTGAGGAAAATCATTACCTTTACAAAGTATACCTGATTGCAGGGGCTGCATTAATGAGCCTGTGAAACCAGTGAGGTGGTTCTCTTTCATGGTGTCCTCTAATTGAAACCAAAAAACAAACTCCTTCATTATACATTCTTATAACTTATTGTGAGAATAATTTTGCAGTTGATGTGAGATATTTTTCTGAAAAACCTTTCCCTCAGTCATGTTTACTTTTAGACTCTGAAGTCTGATTATATATGGTTATAAATAATACCACCTTGACCCAGGAAAAAAATTGAGCAAAGATGTTTTTGGGCTATTAAAAAAAAAAAAAAAAAAAAATCAATGGGTAAGGAACCCAGGTGTTAACTTACTGATACCAGCTTTTTGATTATAGGTGATAAACTAATTCTGTACCTCTTTATTTTAATTGAGACAGGTATAAACTACTCTCATTCAGTTCTAAATTTGCAGTTCTCTGTGATTAGGAATATGAAAGAACCAGCAAGCTGGCAGGTCAGAGGACAAACTATGTTTTTTCCTTCCAATTATGAGAATTCAGAGAGATTTGTCTTATTTGAAACTAGAAGCTTCTTGTTAGGGCTAGAATCTAAGTAGGGAGTTATTTTCAAAAAAGAATTCATAAAAATGCTATATTATTCATTGCTGCAGAAAAAACTGCCCTACAGTTTAGTAGCTTTAAGCAACAAACATTTCCAATTCCTGAAGTCAGGAATCTGGGAACAGCATAGCTGGGTGGTTCAGGTTCAGACTCTCTTATATTGTTGCAAATTGTTGGCCCTGGCTACACTTGTTTCAAGGCACAAATGGGGCTGAAGGATCCACTTCCAAGCTCAGAGGGCTGTTGGCAGATTTCAGTTCCTTCTAAGCTGTTGGACTGAGAGTCTCAGTTTCTTTCCATGTGGGCCCCTCCACAGAGCTCTTAATGTCCTCAAGACACGGGAGTTGGCTTTTCCCTAGAGGGAATGATTTGAGAGAGCAGGAGAGAGAGTGAGAGAGTCTGCCAGCCCTCACTGAGTGGCCCAGGATGGAAGCCACAGTCTTTTCTAACCTAATCTCAGGGAAGTGACCTACCATTACTTCTGCCTATGCTGTTGGTTACACAGATCAACCAGGGTGGGAAATACCAGGCGACTGGGATCATTGGAAGTCATCTGGGATCACTGGGAGTCATCTGACAGTCTTGTTACCACAGATGTCTCCCCATCTTCTGATATTTTTTTCTGAGTTAATATGAAGCTAGTTTGAGGAATGGTATTCTCAGAGTAATATTTACCCAGAATTTGGGGGAATGTTTTTACTTTGATTTCAAAGGAAGAGCATTTAGGAGGAACTCAAATGGCAAGCAAGGGTATAGATCACTGGGATTATATTTTGTTGTATCTTAAGTATGTATACTGAAGATGAATATTTATCTTTAAAATTCACGATATGGGGGCGCCTGGGTGGCTCAGTTGGTTAAGCGACTG